AAAAGGTTAATTATTAAAAATTATTTTAATTTTATTTTGTTTTATATATACATAGTTCATAAAAAGCGTAATTTTTTATTTTTGCATGTATATTTTTAAATGTGTGGGGTTCACACATGTTTTGACGTGATGCATAAAGCCACATTATATTAGATTACATTAATACTGAAATTAATCCTTGCTTCAGAAATCAAATTATCCCACGCAGAATTGCGCATTTGCATGGTTGATATTGAATTTAATGGCATGCATTATTCAGGCCTTCTTATTTATTTCAGGTTAATTAAATTAAAAGTCTTGTTTCCCAGTTTGCCATCTGCTGTCGCTTTGAGCATACGGATGACTTGTTCTGGTGTGTGTGTGTGTGTGTGTGTGTTTCCCTTCTGAAGGGCTCTATTCTCAGTCTGTTATGAAGGTTAAAAATATGCTGGAGGGAAGCGTCTTTTCTCTCTGCGGTTCTCATTGTCTTTGCTCCTTTCAGCATGTCAGGTTGTCTCCCAAATATAATAGTTAACAACAATTACTGTAATTAACTCTAATTTATAAAACATATAGTTCTGGCCGTATATTCTGATTGGATAATTCATATTCAAAGCCGCTGTAAGACATCAGATATAAACGCATGTGTGCTCAGTTGGATGTCCATATACCATGTGCCATGGTGTGTGTGTGTGTGTGTGTGTGTGTGTGTGTGTGTGTTTTCTTATGATTATTAATAATTCAGTTTATTGATTTGTTTGATCATTTTACAAATACAATAAGCTATATCAGTTTTTTTTGTATATATTTTAGATGCCATCAACCCCCAAATATGATCATCCTAACATTTAAAAGGCAGCTATATATTTTCATGTGTAAAAGACTTAATACTGTAAAAAGTTAATATTATAAATGTGTAAAATATTGTCTGTAAAATATTTAGTTTATATTACATTACATCGTTTTTTTTCTACTCACAATAGTATTGTACTGTTATATGTGTTATTATTTATATTTATTATTACTATGTATTATTTATTGATTATTAATAATTCAGTTTATTGATTTGTTTGATCATTTTACAAATACAATAAGCTATATCAGTTTTTTTTGTATATATTTATACAACTGTCAAAGGGATCTGAGTCATTTAGGGATCAAAAACCACTTAGCAACCACCCAGAAGAGAACACCTTAGCAACCACATATCAACAGCCTGGCACAGTAACACTCAATATTTCCTTCAGAAAAAGTAAAAGTCTATTTGCACACTGTTCTTATGTAAATCAAAATGTATTTATTATTTTTTACCATTTTATCAATTTTAAATGCATTTATTTATTTAAATAAAATTTTATTTAATTATGTTTTAATCTTTGAATCAATATTTGTTTTTATTTATTTATTTTAATCAAATGTTGTTTATTTATAATTTATTTATTTAGTAATTTATTTATTTATTTATTTTTTTAATCAAGTTTATTCATTTATTGCTTATTTATGTAAATCACATTTTATGTATGTTAATTAAATTTATTTAAGTAGTTAATTAGTTTAACCTTATTTTTATTGTTTATTTTCTTTTACTAAATGTTTCCATGGACTTTTTCCAGATTTTGCCACTTGATTTTTTGATTGTGGCTACTGTTAAGAATAGTGATATTGTTGATTAATGCATGCACTTTTTATGCAGAGTTTTATCAGCTGGACTATAAAACCGCTTCAGAAAATCCCACACTGAAGAAGGGATCTGAGTCATTTAGGGATCGAAAACCACTTAGCAACCACCCAGAAGAGAACACCTTAGCAACCACATATCAACAGCCTGGCACAGTAACACTCAATATTTCCTTCAGAAAAAGTAAAAGTCTATTTGCACACTGTTCTTATGGTATTTACAGTAAAGTGAGTTTGTGAACGCTGCTCAGTTATTCAGTGCATGTTTGAGTCACGAGGGATTCACTCAGATGCCCATTAAATCACATTTAATCAACTGTGTGAATTGAAAAGTGCTTTCACAAGCCCTTGAGATTGTGTGTGTGTGTGTGTGTGTGTGTGTGTGTGTGTGTGTGTGTGTGTGTGTGTGTGTGTGGGTGTGTGTGTGTGGTCTGCGTGTCACTAAGCTATATCAGTTTTTTTTGTATATATTTATACAACTGAAGAAGGGATCTGAGTCATTTAGGGATCAAAAACCACTTAGCAACCACCCAGAAGAGAACACCTTAGCAACCACATATCAACAGCCTGGCACAGTAACACTCAATATTTCCTTCAGAAAAAGTAAAAGTCTATTTGCACACTGTTCTTATGGTATTTACAGTAAAGTGAGTTTGTGAACGCTGCTCAGTTATTCAGTGCATGTTTGAGTCACGAGGGATTCACTCAGATGCCCATTAAATCACATTTAATCAACTGTGTGAATTGAAAAGTGCTTTCACAAGCCCTTGAGATTGTGTGTGTGTGTGTGTGTGTGTGTGTGTGTGTGTGTGGTCGTCCTGTACCTTATAGTGCTGTCGTCTGCTGTGGATCTGTCCAGCCTGCTGAAACGATTTTGCCTGTCTGACCTTTTTTGGTCGCTGGGATAATTGCATTTTATTTACGATGTCCTTGAACGGGGACGGGACGTATTTGAGTGTTTTTGGATGCCGCGTTGATGGACATCCACACACACACACACACACTCACTTTCTCTCTGAATATCACATTGGCTCTTACTGATCTTTGAAAGCCCTTGAAATGAGTGCTACACACAGCAAACACAATGACAGGGAATGTTTATTGGTGGAGAGAAGGGTCATGTGTTCATGCTGATTTACAGTCGTGTTGATCACGGTGTTTAAACTGCTCTGCTGCACCGTATGTGACTCACTGCCATGTCATGATATATATTATAAAAGTAACTGGATATTTAATTTTTTCTGAAGTAAATGTGAGTGGTGTTTGCTCATGCAAATCTTCATGATGCTAGCGTTCTGTATGGTTGATAAGGTGTTCTGTGTGGCTGCTAGTGTGTTCTGATTCTGAATAGTTTATAATGTGTTCTTTGTGGTTGCTAGGGTGTTCTGAATAGTTGCTAGGGTGTTCATGGTGGTTCCTAGAGTGTTCTGGTTGGTTGCCAGGATGTTCTGAATGGTTGCTAAGGTATTGTAAGTGGTTATGATGTTCTGAATGGTTTATAGGGTGTTCTTTGTGGTTGCTAGGGTGTTCTGAGTAGTTGCTAGGGTGTTCAGGGTGGTTGATAGGGTATTCTGGTTGGTTGCTAGGGTGTTCTGAATGGTTGCTAGGGTGTTGTGGATGGTTGCTAGGGTGTTGTGGATGGTTGCTATGGTATTCTAGTTGCTAGGGTGTTCTGTGTGGTTACTAGGATGTTCTGAGTGGTTGCTAAGGTGTTCCAAACAGTTGTTAGGGTGTTCTTGATCTCAGGTGAAAAATCTCTGTAATATTCTGGTTTTTAGGTATGACTCTGGTCCACTTTTTTATTGTCCAAGAGCATCTGATGACTAAGTAAAGTAACAGCTCACAATCGCATTCATGTCTGGAGCACAGGAGATTTATATTGTTCCCAGACATCTTGAACAATGACTTTCCATTTCCATAATTTGTGATTACAGGACAAGGATTTTTCAAATTCATTTTATTGATATAGCACTTAAAAAGAGCTATTCCTAGCCTATTAAATCTTTTAGAACGGAGCATAACATAAGATCTATTCAGACTATATACATATATATAT